TACCCGTATCTGTTTTTTGTGATTATACTTGTTGGCATGCTATAAGTTTGATTAAGGGCTATCCATATTTACTTACTGAGTTTATCTCATAGTTTATCTCATAGGTTTTCCTTGTCCACCATTTCAGGAAGCGAAGTCAAGGACGGGGAAAAACAAAGGGAGTGACGAGTTAGAAGGCTAGCCATCTTGTAAATTGAACATAGATTTGAGATATCAATCATGATCTTGTAAACTAAACTTTGTTTGGAGATTTTATGATATTAGAATAAATTTATAATTTTATCTTCAGATTTTGATGGTATCAGATGTGAATTAGATAAATTTCGAGCCTTGTGCATTTGTGGGACTTTCTCACGAGTGTACGGCGTTTGTTACGCCTTGGATTTGGGTTCTGGGGCATGACAGTATTTTTAAAACCATTTAAATTGTAAACAGTTTGAAACCGATAAAAACTGTTGAAACTGCTCAAGCCGATAAACCGTTCGATCGGACGGTTCAATGGTTGGGCATAAAATCTTCAAAATTTTGTCTCCTGCGAGACTTGAACTCACAACCCTGAAGCCTTAATTCTAACTCTTCACCACTAGGACGATGCCCCATTCTCCATGATATGAAACAAATATTCAACCACTTGATACACAACCTTTTATTTGTTATTATTTGCTTTACAATATATTTATTCTATCTTTAAAACCACAATTATATTAAAGTTTGTTCTCACCCAAGCTCGAATTTGTGATCTTTCACCTTTCAAATCAGTCACCTACCACTGCACCCAACTAACACTTTATAAAATATTTTGCAAAATAATATATTTATAGTGGTTTGATCAACCTGGCGGTTTTACCAATTAAACTGATTGAACCAATCAAACCATAAACCAAAGGTCAAACCATGAACCAAAGGTCAAACCATGAACCAAAGGTCAAATAGTTTAACTTCCAGTTCAGGTTTAAAAACATTGATTCTAACCTTAGGCCCTTAGCTATTTGTTTGAGTTTGGGCCTTCCATTTTGTGGCCCAAATATCCAACAAATGCTTTGTAATCCATTTCCTTTAATTTTATGATACAAATATTTTGAACCAAATATCCAAAGATTTCCAAAGGGAAGTATTTGAATTTTTGAGATTTCTTTTGTGAATTTATCTTGATTGACATGATACATAGATCATCTGAAAAGGAAAAATTTACGGTTAAGGAAAAAACAAGTGCTTAATTTGTTAAAAAAATTAAGATTCTTTTTAGTATATTGTTTATAATACTTATAATTATAATTCTTTTTTATGATCCAAAGTCCATTTAGCTCTATAAAAATCTTCTATTAATTAATGGATGATTTCAACAAAATGCAGGTACAATCAACTCAATTTTTGCAAAATTAAACAACAAGTTGAACCAAAAAAATTAAATTAAAAAAATCCATAAACTCAACTAAGAAAAACCCACCTAAGCCAACAATATTAAACGATTACATACAAAAAAACTATACCCAAAAACTAATTGCTCCAATCTGCTCCATTTTAGGAAATCTAAACAAAAGTCAGACGCTATATGACAGCTACTGCGCAACCTCAACACTAAAAAAGGAAAAATCCCAAAAAAAAATCAAATAAATTACAATCCCAAATATAGAAAACCACACCCAAAACAAACCCATAAACAATAAAAATGTATTAGATTGTGATTAGGTGAATATACAGATCCTGGACAATTTTTTTAATTAAGTTATAATTTACTTTAACTTAAAAATATTAAACAAAAAATTATAGAATATTGTGGATTTCAACATCATCATGAGCCCTATTGTTCTAGGCAAGAATAGTGCGAATTTAGTCTCTTTTACAAATGGTTAAATGCTAAATTTGGTTCCTCAACTTTACGAAATGCACATTTTTGATCCCTCAACAAAATTTTGTACTTTTTTGATCCCTCAACCATACGAAATGCACTCCGTTAGTATTTCTGTTAATTTGGGCCGTTAACTCGCTCATGAGGCATTTTTTATAGTTTTTTTGATGTCGTGGCAAAAATAAATTAAAAACGTGTCACCGTGAAATTTTTTTTTATTACAGCATATGCTCAACTCACATTATTACTATTTATATTTTTAAAAAATAAAATAAAATAATTCTATCCATCTCCTTCCTTTCTTTTTTTCTTTTTCTTTCTTCCTCTT